TAAAAATATCACAATTTAAAACCGTCCTAGCCATCTGCATCAAATCCAATTGGCCCTGTCATCTTTCCCATTGTCGCTTCATTGCCCTGTCCCGAAAGCTTGGTCCCACAGCCAAGTTTTTACCATCCTTCTAAAGGACAGGAGGGAGGGGGCCGACCTGATCTCACAAGGAAGGGAGTTCCATAGCCAGGGAGAAATCACCAAGGAGGCCTGTCTCTCGTCCCCACCAATTGCGCCTGTGACAATGGTGGGATGGAAAGCAGGGCCTCCCCGGAGGATCTTAATCTCCGCGATGGTACATAGAGGGAGATGCGTTTGGACAGGTAATTTGGGCCGGGGCCGTTTAGGGCTTTATAGGCCAAAGCCAGCACTTTGAATTGTGCCCGGTAGCAAACTGGCAGCCAGTGGAGCTGGCGTAACATGGGAGTTGTATGCTCCCTGTATGCCGCCCCAGTTATTAACCTGGCTGCCTCTCATTGGACTATTTGAAGCTTCCGAGCAGTCTTCAAAGGCAACCCCACGTAGAGTGCGTTGCAGTAGTCTATTCTAGATGTAACAAGAGCGTGGACCACCGTGGCCAAGTCTGTGGTAACTGTGGCATCGAGGTTGGGGCGAATCAGAGCGACTTTATCTGCAAAGAACCAAGCGAATGCCTCACAGCGAGCTGTTGAAGGGTCAGGGATCCCATCATGGGTGGTAGGGTTCAACAAACTTCTGACCCTTCGAAACAGCTCAGCTGGACGATTCCTCGCGGATGCAATGTTGGCCGAAATGTGAGATTTATTTGTAGCCTTCACTGCCGCAGAGTACGCCCTTGCATAGGCGCATGCCCGTGTTCAGTCTGACTCGATGCAAGATGATCGCCACATGCCCTCTAGACTCCTCTTTGTTCGCTTCATCGCTGCCAGCTCCTCGTTGAACCCGGGGGCTGGTTTAGCTCTGCTACTCGAGAGGGGTCACACTGGAGCGATTGTGTCTATTGCCCTGGTCATCTCCCTGTTATAGAAAGCAACCAGAGCATCAACAGAATCACCTACCTCAGTGGCGGGAAGTTCCCCAAGAGCCGTCAGGAATCCTTCTGGATCCATAAGCCTCCTGGGGCGGACCTTCTTAATGGGCCCTCCACCTCTGCGGAGGTTAGGGAGTGCAGAAAGTCTAAACTTGACCAGGTGGTGGTGGGACCATGGCAGTGGGACTAAAGAGAGTTCCACTCCACCACCTTATTCCCATCCCTGACTGAACACCATGTCCAATGTATGTCCAGCTCTGTGAGTAGGGCCAGAAACCACTTGGGACAGCCCCACATTAGCCATGGTTACCATGAAGTCCTGAGCCGCTCCCAACAGGGAGGTCTCTGCATGAACATTGAAGTCCCCCAGCACTATAAGCCTTTGGGACTCCAATGCTAGGCCTGAGATCACCCCGGCTAGCTCAGGTAGGGAGGTTGTAGTGTTGCGAGGTGGTCGGTACACTACAAGTATCCCTATTCTGTCCCGGTCTCCTATTCTCAGGTGGACGCATTCAAATGAGGGTGCATATAAAGGAAGGTAAGGAGGGGGTTATTTTGATCTCTTTAGTGAGGGAGTTCTAGAGGCGTGGGATGACCACAGAGAAGGGCCCCTTTCTTGTTCCCACCAGCCATGCTTGAGATGGGCATGGGAGTGAGAGCAGGGCCTCCTCCGCTGATCGTAGTGCCTGAGCAGGCTTGTATGTGGAGATGTAGTTGGCCAAATAGTCTGGACCCGAACTGTTTAACACTTTAGAGGTACTAACCAGCACTTTGTATTTAGCCCAGAAGCAAACCAGCAGCCAGTGGAGCTGCTGTAGCATGGGACTAGTTCTCTCCCTATATGGAGCCTCAGTTAAGTAATCTGGCTGCCGATCTCTGGACAAGTTGATGCTTCCATGCTATCTTTAAAGGCAGCCACACGTAAAGCGCATTGCAGTAATCCAAACGGAATGTAACGAAGGCATGGACTACCATGTCCAGATCTGGCATCTCAAGGTACCAGTGCAGCTGGCACACAAGTTTTAATTGTGCAAAGGCGCTCCTGAGTCTCTAGGGTCAATAATAAATCCAGGATCACCCCCAAGCTGCGAACCTGCACCTTCATGGGGAGTGTAACCCCATCCAGCACAGACTGTAACCTTATATCCAGATCTGCCTTCTGACGGACCAGAAGCACCTCTGTTGTGTCAGGATTGAATGCAGCTTAAAATACAATTTAAAAAACAAACCCAAGAGATTCATATGAAATCATAACCAATTATCATTCTAAAACACAATTGAGCCACTCATTATATTCATTCATTCATTCATATTTAATTACTTATTAATCGCCCTCCATCCGAGAATGCTCTAGGCGATTTACAGCTAAATTGTAAAAAATAAAATACATACATACAGAAATTAAAAATTAACAGAGATCGAATACTCCAGTTTATGGAATGCCTTGCCAGTTGAAACCCGAACTATCCGAGACCTACTTGCTTTTCGGAAAGCCTGTAAAACCTTTATCTTCCGACAAGTCTTCGATGGGTGATTAATTCGGGACTATGTCTGTTCTCGTTTTTTTTATTGTATTTTAAAGTTAATTGTATTGTTTTAATCTACTGTTGTAAACCGTTCCGAGCCAAATTGGGAGTAGCGGTATACAAGTCAAATAATAATAATAATAGTAAAAAGCCAGGTCTTAAGTGCTAGAGTAAAAGGTCCTAAGTCACGCATGGCTCTCATATAGGGTAGCAAGGAATTCCATAAGGCAGGGGCAGAAATAGAAAAAGCCCTGCGTCTGGTACTTTCCAAGTGCACTTCTCTAGGACCCGGTATATAGAGTAAGTCATGTTGGGCTGGTCGTTGCGACCTCCGATGATGGGAGAAGGAGAGGTGGTCCCTAAGGTATGATGGACCCTGGCGGTAAAGAATGTTAAAGGTCAGAACTAACATCTTATACAGGCCACGGTACTCAGTTGGAAGGCAATGTAAATGTTGCAGCACTGGTGTTATATGGTATTATATTGAAAAGGCATCGAAATTTAAAACAGTTTAAAATTGCATCGGAATAAAGGATTTTTTAAAAGAAGACTTTTCTCAATAGCCCATCCGTTATCAAATTCCTGTGCTAATTAAAAGGTAATTTCCAAATGGTAGAAGGAAATCAGGTATGTGGGGGGGGAGTTAGAATTACTTGTTAGGTTATAGTAACTGTAGTAAGGATCAGTCTGTCACAGGCACAAGTGGTGGGGCTCCAGATAGGACCATCTCAGTATCTGACCCTAGGCTTGGGAACTCCCTATGCAAAGAGGGCTTCTAGCTCCTTCTTGCTGTAGAATGTTTTCAAGGAAAGAGCTTTTAAGAGTGTGCTTTATTTTACTACTACCTTAAGTACTCGGTGATGCCTAGGTTTAGGTCTTTTGTAATGATAAACATAAAAAGCATTGATCCTTGGGTTTTGGATTTTAAGAATGGGCCCATTAGAAAATGAAATAACAAAATGGGTAAACACAGGGGCGGCTCAAACCATTACGCAAAGTAAGCATTTGCAGTATAGTTGATTTTGCCCAGGGGCGTTCTTGAGGCACTCTTGGGGGAAAATAGACCTTTACATATGCGAGTTGTAGTTACTGGGATGTATAGTTCACCTACAATCAGAGCATTCTGAACTCCACCAATGATGGAATTGAACCAAATATGGCACACAGAACTCCCACGACGAACAGAAAATATATATCAATGATTGGTTTTGGGGGGGGGGGGGATACTGTTTGCTTACCATTGAAAATTACCTAGGGCCACCTCTGGGTAAACGACAACTCCCACCATCACCTGTTATTGTTCCAACCACACCAGTAATCAAAGCTGGGCATGTTGGATATGTGTGCCAAGTTTTGTCCAGATCCAAACCCCTCCAGTATTTCTGTTGGTCATGGGGGTTCCATGTGCAAAGTGTGGTCCAGATCCATTGTCGGTGGGGATCACAGTGGTCTCTGGAAGTGAGAACCAATAGGAAATCAGCCACGAACATACATCAGAGCCCACATACGCACATACATACAATTTTATTATAGATAGATAGATATGATATAGAGATAGAGATAGATAGATAGATAGATAGATAGATAGATAGATAGATATAGAAATATCAATCAATAGACAGAGATATTAGACTTTTTAATGATTTTGAATCATATGTTTTAAATAGTTGAAAGGTTGTTAACAGTGTAATTCTATTTTTATTATTCATTTTGGGCTTTTTTGACAATATTGTGCTTTTGATTTGTAAGCAGAGTTGCAGTTTTGAGAAAAAGATGTTCTATACATCAAGATGATAATTGCAGCAGCAGCAATGACATCAATGTGAGACCATCTCAAAGGGAATTTAAGTAATGCAGGTGGAAAATGCCAATTGGGAAAGTGAATATGTACAGATGGAACTATTTCAAGATGTACCATAAAAGCATCCTGCCAGATTCTTCCTGTCACTGTGTTTCTAATGTTATTTCCTCCTAGCACATCAGCCAGATGTGGCAGGTGGGTGTAAGAACGTACTTCCAATGTCCCTTATTTCCCACTACCCTATGCCACCTTTTGGGGAGCTGAATAATTCCTCATTCCCGCCCCCTTACATTAATCTCAGATGATTCCTCTCAGAATGCACTGTATCAACAAGGATTCTGGACTACATCACTGATGCAGCCTCCAAGCATTCAGCAACAACATAATTCCTTTCAGGCATTTTAATTTACAGTCCCTTCAGAGCTGCTGCTAAACACTTTGTGCAACTTAAGCCAGCCAGACTGTCATTCTGAAAGAAGCCATGAGATTGGCTCAGAGCAGTGCTTGTATATTTAATGATCTTTTTCTTTCTCTCTGATGTTTTGTATAACTGAGTAAAGTACAGGAAACATTACAGGGTGTGTTCATTTTGTCCTTTAGGAGCATAATTATATAGGCCACTTCAGCAACAGTGGGCATTTCTGAGGTCATAGTGTAGCTACTGTCATATCTGAACATGATAGCAAGAAGGTGAAACCTAGAAAACCTAGTTTGCCACAAAAGGCTATATGGAATGTGAGAGTAGTGGCATAGTACAACTTAGAGAATAATCATCATATACAGAACAGATCCCCAAACACTGAAATGGGGCAGGGATCTTGTGGCTCTCCAGATGTTGTTGACATGGAACTCTGATCAGCCCCTATCATGGAAAGTAAAACCTGCTCCAAATGATTGGTTAATCCTCAGAATCTGTGAAGGAACACAAACAAGATACTCAAATTTAGGAGATGAAAATATCCAGTATATCCTGTGGCAATCTCATATCAAATCGATGTGTACAGAGCCATCCTAAATGGCATGGGGATGCAGAATGAGGTGCCAGATGACTTTCCATCCCCAGAGCTATTCAGATATGCATTAGTCAGGTTTAAGGCTACATATTCTTCCCCCCAGAGAGATGTCTAAAGGGTTCATATTAAGAACAAATTTCTTTAAGAGAAAATTAACTACTTAATCTCCAGGATGCCTTATAAGATATACCTTATTTTCAAGGCACAGAAGAGCTTAGATTTATTAGATTTACTAGGTACTTCCAATCCACCCCAAAGCACTCATTTTCATGGTCTATCATGTACCAGGTGCTACTGGTAAAAATATGCTTCAACATTATCCCAATGTCTCACCACCACTGGAGGGACACTCCTTGCCTACGCTTGCTCTCACCCCAACTAGATGTTAGGATTACTTTCTTGTAAATTGTTTTAGTATATATTTTTATCCTCCTGTGCATCATTTTTCTCTTTGAAGTGAATAGTGCAAAGCAAACAGAATAAAATAAAACGATTAGAGAAAACTAATAAATGGTTCTTGAGCAAGGAGGGTTGCACAAACACAAGGACCAAGTACCAAGAGCACAATAATCCCAAATAAACAGCTCATGTAGATACGTTATAACAGAGACCCTACAATTTTATAATCATCATGACATGACTAGCGTCCAAATCTAACATATGTAACATTTTAACATCCTTTCAAATCTATGATACTATATCTGTCATATACATGTGTGTGTGTGTGTGCGTGTGTGTGTGTGTGTGAATCATATATATCTATGGCTGGATGGCTCTGTCAGTAGGACTTTGATTATGTTTTCTTGACCTGGTGAAGGGAGTTGGGCTGGGTGGCCTTAAGGCAGCATTTTTCAACCTGGGGGTCAGGCCCCCTGGGAGGGGGTCACAAGGGGGTGTCAGAAGGGTCACAAAAGACCACCAGAAAACATAGTATTTTCTGTTGGTCATGGGGGTTCTGTGTGGGAAGTATGGCCCAATTCTATTGTTGGTGAGGTTTGATTGTAGGTGGACTATAAATCCCAGTAACTACAACTCCCAAATGTCAAGGTCTATTTCCCCCAAATTCCATCTGTGTTCATATGGAGTATTGGTGCCAAGTTTGGTCCAGATCCATCATTGTTTGAGTCCATAGTGCTCTCTGGATGTAGGTGAACCACAACTCAAAAATTCAAGGTTTTCTGTTGGTCATGGGAGTTCTGTGTGCCAAGTTTGGCTCAATTCCATTGTTGGTGGAGTTCAGAATGCTCTTTGATTGTAAATCCCAGGAACTACAACTCTCAAATGAAAAATCAATTTTTTGAGTGATGGTTACTCCTTGCATTATTAGGTGTCTTGTGTCCAAGTTTGGTGTCAATTCCTCCAGTGGTTTTTGAGTTATGTTAATCCTACAAACGAACATTACATTTTTATTTATATAGATATGAGTGAAAAAACAACATACAAAATTAGCCTCCTTTTCTTGACTTCCTTTTACCTTCACACAGAATTGCAACCTTGTAGGAACAGTAAAATGATGCCCACCGGAAGGCATCCAGTCTTCTCCATTTTTTAAAGGAGTTCCACCAATTGTGAGGGAGTTCTGCTGCGGAGACAAAACCAACAAGTCTCCCACATTCCTGCTGTTTCAGCTTTGAGTCCTTGGAGGGATCCCACTGAGGATGATAATAATGATAATATTGATAACAACAACAACAACAACAACAACAACTTTATTCTTGTACTCCATCTCCCCGAAGGGCTACTGCCTCTTCCAGAGCATATATGCCCTCTGGGAGGGTGGGCGAAGCTGTAGCCAAAGTACCTTATAACACCTGTTTAGGGTTTCTGACAGTATTGCTCAGGCACAATTACTACCAATTTCACAGATGAACACTCAAAGAAAGAAGGTTACAGGTAAGCAACCTTTTATTTGTGCCCTGCTTTTTCCCCTTCTCCTGACATCTCTGGGCACAACTGAGCCAAAATACTTCGTAGTATGGAAATGGGGAGATGTTTGCTATGACCAGCATGTTGACTGATTAAAAAGAAGTCATACCTGGGGGGTCTTTTATCCTTTTGGTTATTTTTATTTCGTTGTCTTTAGATGCCACTTATACCCCTCCCCCAGATATCTCTGGGAACAAGTGAGCCAAATGCTTTGTAGTATATAAAGTAAATGAGGAGTTGCTTGCTATGACTTGCATTATAGTGCATAGAGTTAATGCTACCTTGATTAGAGGTCCTTTCAAAGGACACCTGCGGGTGTCCTCCTTATTCCCCCAACTCCTTTCCTTGTTTAAGGGGATGAGTGGGTCTTTGTGGGGCAGTGGGCAGCCAGCCAGTGGGAACCCTTTGCAGTAGCAGCAGCTTCCAATTTCCATACTTGGAAGGATTTGGGATCAGAGAGTCCCTGACATGAGGGGGGCTTTTCTTCCTTGCTTCTTTCAGGGTCTTTTGCCTCTTACATGGCAAAAAACTAGGAAGAGCTAGGGACAAGCAGCAGGTTAGTCTATATAGTCTATGTAACAGGTGGCAGTGGGGTGGGAGGTGCCAGTTGGGCCACTGTCCAATGGTGCCAAACCAGTTTCAGCATGGCTGGGCAACATGGACATCCACCACTGCCAGGGCAGGCCGAAGCATCCATGCCTAGCTGCAAGCAGGCCAAATCCAGTATTTTGGATACTGCTTCCAGCTCACATTTTGTGGCTGTATAGAAACACCCGTAATCTCGTTCTCTGCCTCTCTTTCTTTCCAGTCTTATTTAACTGAGGTTTAACAAAACCTAGACTACTTTCTTGAAAACAAATAGCAGGTAGATTTAGCAACAGTGCTAAATCTGGGCATTTGAGTAGTAACTATCTTGAGGGTAAGTTTTTGTAGGTGCCTTCTTGTATTTTATCAAATCCAAAACAACTTTGAAGAAAGCCTCCACTGAAACCTTACCTGCTGAATGACAAAACATCCTGAAAATGAGGCAGATACAATGACATCTAGAGTCTCTTTGTTTGTCTTTCTGCTCAAGTGAAACTTATTTTGATTAGCTACATAGCTTTTATCTCCACATGGATTTCCTTGACTGCAGATGTTTCTTGTTTTTGCCTAGAGGTATATTATATCAAGTATTTCAGACCTTTCAGTGATCCAGGATTCCAACTTTTATTAACAAGAAAATATACAGTGGCAGCTCCTTGTTTAATGGACCAGGTTGGAGGCATTCCTCGATATTTACTTCACATCTTACCAAGGAATGTTAAGGTCTTCAGCTTGTCAGAAGCGATATATTCTGTTGTTTAGCTGTCTGGAGTTTTTGTTTTATTTGGCAATTAAAATGTTGGGATTTGCTCTGTATTCACTTTTAAATATATAGTCTTTATAGTTCAGGAACAAATAAAGTTGTTCTCTTACTGCACAGTTAATTTTAGGCAAAAAAAAAAGCCCATGTTATAAATGGCAGTTCACTGTAAAGCTTAGTGTATTAAAATACATTTGAGAAAGGGTGAGCTCCCGGTCATTTGTGCTATGAACCAGTTTCTTGAGTAGGTACTGAAGTCAATACGGACTTTAGGAGGGTCTCCCCAGTAAGAGAGACCCCTAGGACCGCACCAAAGAGGGTCCGCTACCTTGGCGAGCCGTTAGAGAAGCCTGATTCCAGCAGTTTTATTAATATTAAAAATTGAAATGAGACTCTTGCTAAGGCGAAGAAGTGGCACCGAGGTTTTAATGAGCGATTCAGCTGAAGCGGATGCAATTGCAGTGATATCTCACATGCAAGCATACCAGTACAGAGATCAGAGGCATTTTTTATAGGAATTTCCAGGTTTGAAAGTTCCAAAGCTCCCGCCCTCTGCCCTCCGCCCGGCTTGCAGGTGATTGGCTGATGAGATTCCAGCTGGGAGGAGGCACAGCCGCCCTCCCTGCATCAGGACCAATCACAGAGCTCCTCTGCTGCACAAGAGCCAATGGGAGAGCTTTCCCAACTTCAGCACCTTGACAAATCAGGAGGAGAGAGGCGGGATGAAAACAGAAACAATGAGCAGGCAAATGAATCAATGGGTGCGATGCCCAGGCTATTGTCCTTGAGTGGAGTTGCGGTGATCCTTGATTACTTTCATCCTGGCCTTCCTGACACAATCAGATAAGGCACAAAAGGGGAGGCTGGGGAAATGTCCAATTTTTAATGAAGTAAACAATATTGGGAAGGCGGCCCCCTGAGGGGCGTCTTGCTCCTATTGTGAAATGGCCAAAAGTCTGCAGAAGGAGATCTCAGCCTGATGGCCTTAATCCAGGAGCCTCATAGAGTTTCCAGGTCTTATTGTCCTCGCCAGAGTTCTGGGATATGAGTTTCTTTTGTTGCCCCTGATTGCCCTTTCAACAGCTGGCCGCTTCCTGGATTGATTTACCCAAAGGGAGGTGGAAGGAGTGATAGGTTTGGGTGTCAGGGCAAGCATAAGGAAAATACATGAGGGAATACAGAAATCCACAGAAATTCATATCAAATATCTCCTTCCCCATCCCACCCGCCAAAGAAATTTWATAAAGAAATTATTTTCAAGCAATATGAGTCCATRGTCCATTTTGAGGGAAGTTYATGAGCGAAAAAGATGWCCTTGTGAGTCCAAAACATTAGGCAGAGCTCTTMAAGCCCAAAAGGACAAGTCTGTTGATTTCCCACTGAGCCATTGGGTGGAATTCTGCCATGCTGGGGTCGAAGCTGGTCCTTGGGAAACTACAACTCTTATGAAGGGCAGAAGTCCTAAGATCCAGCTGTTCCCCAAAAGCCTYGTGGGGTCCTTGTTGTTGTTAGTGYCTTGGCAATATGACCAAGACTTAACCCCTACTGAGCAGTCTGGTGCCCTTGCCCTTGGCAGAACWATAAGTCACTATCCCTTATTTTTGGGGGGTGCTCGACTTCAGTACCTTTCATCAGTTCAATTACACGATCAAACTGACATCCAGAACTTCATGCCTTTTTGTCCAAAGATCAGACCCAATTCAGAATTCATTCTGTCTATCCCAAGTAACTTCATTATAGCTTCAGGCTAGTTTCTGAGCTAAATATTGTATAGAATCATAGAGTTTGAAGAGACCTCATGGGCCATCCAGTCCAACCCCCTGCCAAGAAGCAAGAAAATTACATTTGAAGCACCCCCAACAGATGGCCATCCAGCCTCTTCTTAAAAGCCTCCAAAGAAGGAGCCTCCACCACACTCCGGGCAGAGAGTGCCAATGCTAAACAGCTCTCACAGTCAGGAAGTTCTTCCTCATGTTCAGGTGAAATCTCCTTTCCTGTAGTGTGAAGCCATTGTTCTGCACCCTAGTCTCCAGGGCAGCAGAAAACAAGTTTGCTTCCTCTTCCCTATGCCTTCCCCACACATATTTATACATGGCTATCATGTCTCCTCTCAGCCTTCTCTTCTGAAGGCTATACATGCCCAGCTCTTTAAGCCACTCCTCATATGGCTTGTTCTCCAGACACTTGATCATTTTAGTTGCCCTACTCTGGACACATTCCAGCTTGTCAACATCTTTCTTCATTTGTGGTGCCCAGAATTGGACGTAATATTCCAGGTGTGGTCTGACCAAGGCAGCATAGAGGGGTAGCATGACTTCCCTAGATCTAGACACTATGCTCCTATTGATGCAGGCCAAAATCCCATTGACTTTTTTTTGCCACCACATGACATTGTTGGCTCATGTTTAACTTGCTGTTCACGAGGACTCCAATATCTTTTTCACATGTACTGCTCTCAAGCCAGGTGTCCCCCATTCTGTATCTTTGCATTTAATTTTTTCTGCCTAAGTGGGGTATCTTGCATTTGTCCCTGCTGAACTTCATTTTGTTAGTTTTGGCCCAACTCTCTAATCTGTCAGGATTGTTTTGAATCCTGCTCCTGTCCTCTGGAGTATTGGCTATACTTCCCAATTTGGTGTCGTCTGCAAACTTGATGATCATGCCTTCTAACCCTTCGTCTAAGTCATTAATAAAGATGTTGAACAGGACCAGGCCCAGGACGGAACCCTGCAGCACTCCGCTCATCACTTCTTTCCTGGATGAAAAGGAAGCATTGGTGAGCACCCTCTGGGTTCGTCCATTTAACCAATTACAGATCCACCTCACCGTAGTTTTGCCTAGCCCACATTGGACTAGTTTGTTTGCCAGAAGGTCGTGGGGGACCTTGTTGAAGGCCTTACTGAAATCCAGGTACACTACATCCACGGCATTTCCTGCATCTTACCATCCCCTTGTAGTGAAGGGTGAAGCAACCTCTTTGGGTCCTGGGGTCTGGGTTTGCATATGAAGGTCGTTGCAATTTATTTATTTATTTATTTGACTTGTATACCGCTACTCCCAATTTGGCTCTGAGCGCTTTACAGCAGTAGATTAAAACAATACAATTAACTTTAAAATACAATAAAAACAAGAACAGACATAGTCCCGAGTTATTCACCCATCGAAAGCTTGTTGGAAGAGAAAGGTTTTACAGGCTTTCCGAAAAGCAAGTAGGTCTTGGATAGATCGTGTTTCAACTGGCAAGGCATTCCATAAATTGAGTCTAACCTCGTAACTCTATCAAAAAAAGAGATCAGATTAGTCTGGCATGACTTGTTTTTGATAAATCCATGTTGACTGGGGGTGGGGTGGATAGGAATTATTATTATTATTATTATTATT